CCAAGGAACTGGTTGTGGACTTCGGAAGGTCCAGACCAGGTGCAGTGCCAGTTAAGGAGGTGGTCAACATGTACAAGTACCTCGGACTGTGGGTGGACAACAAACTGGACTGGTCATACAACACGCAGCACCTGTATTAAAAAAAAGCCAAAGCAGACTATTTCGTCAGGAGGCTGTGGTCTTTCAACATCTGCAGGAAACTCCTGTGGATGTTCTACTAGTCGGTGGTTGCCGGTGTACCTTTCTATGCTGTGTTGTGTAGGGGGAGCAGAACAGCAAAGGAGGACTCATCCAAGCTGGAAAAACTAATCAGGAAGACTGGCTCTGTGGCCGGCATGAAGCTGGACATTCTGGTGACAGTGGCAGAGAAGACGACACTAAAGAAACTGCTGGACATTATGGACGATGCTGAACATCCTCCGCATGTGGTCATAAATAATCAAAGGAGTCTACTCAGAGACAGGTTGCTTCTCCCCAAGTCTAAGCCCAACCTAAGACTTATTCTTGATGATCTGGATGGTGCAACCTTCAATTATTGCAAAGACCACACACTTCCATGTACTGTTTTAAACGTACAGTGACACCATGTTATTAGGAGAAACGGCAGATCGATCTATTATGGGGTTCAGTACAGCAACAGTCATCACCCATTTTGAGTTCTGAGCTTAGCAGATTGTTAATGTAACAGATGCGAAGATTAGACTTTGTGAAGAAATGATACAACATCTTTATTAGAGCCATAAAAATAAACAATATTTAGGAAAAGACTTTTCAAATGAGATAAACAGTATTTTGGAATCAGAAATTGTGTGACTGCAAGCAATCACAAGTATTTGAAACGCCCAACTTCTTTCTACAATTAAGTTCAATATTTTAACAGTCTGGAAAGATGAACACCATATCTGTCCTTCCAGATGACGATAAGAACTGGCTGCAAGGGCTGCCATGTCCTCTTCTTTATCAACCTCTATTGCAAACCACTTAAGCTTCCCTTCTGTGTCCTTTTTTGGAGATTAAACATGTCCCAGAGAAGGAAAATATCAGCCAGGAATATGAACAAGATAAATTTAAGACCAGCTCTTAATATCTTGTGTCTGCCTATGCCTATAGAGAATTGGCGATCAGCACTTTTCTTATCCTTCACTACTCTGTGTTTGTGTTGTTAAAGAGTGTGACTGTCCAAGATGGTAGAACAGGTCTTGCTTTTACCTCAAAGGTTTTTGGTGTTTCAAGGTTAAGGGTTAATTCAGCCCATTTGAGTGACTGTCCTGACAACAAAAGTTGCACTTTTTAAATCCAGCAGGCATGTCATTGCCAGGATAATGGATCAAATAACCTGTGTACATGTGAGTGCCCAAGACTAACAAACCAACTTAGAGAAGTAAAAAAAATGCTTTATAGCACCATTGAAAGCTTTATAACTACACGTTTATCTTAAAATGAGCTCTGCTTGCTCCCTTTAAATCTTCCTTTAAAGCACAACAAGAGGGGAAATAATTGAATGAGAGTGTATGCATGGCCACCCTTAATTGTGTATTTCTCCGAGAACTCCAATTCAAAAGAGATGACTCACTAAGTCATTGATTTTGCTTCCAAGCGGTTGCACTCACTCAGCTGAAGAAGCTGGACAGAAGTTTACTCCCTCCTTGTCCTTTGTTACAGTTCAAGATTCAATAATACAACAACGATACAAGATCAAAGAGCAGATAGATGCCTGAATAGGGTTTTTTTTATGTTACCAGATCGTATTTACATAAATAAATACATCCCTACACTGCTATTTCTCAAATAACCATTACAGTAAAAAGCAAATCAGTATTGAACACATCCCTAGTTGTCGAACTAACTACATTTCTAAAGGTTTGTCCCTGTGTCATTTCTCATTATTACACATTATTTATGGACTTTGTGTATTGATTTCTTTGCATGTGTGGATTGCATGGGTTGTTACCAACATTTGGTGAGAATGTCATATCATTAAAGTGCTTTGAGTGCTCCAGGAGAGTAAAAAACACTATATAAGAATCAGTCCATTTACCATGTCAGTAGCACCTTCAGTAATACATTTACTTGATTTACTATGATTCCTCCATAACAATGCGAGAAAGTGTTTAAGTCATACAGGAAACAATTATGTCAAATTGTTGCTGCTAAAGGTGGTCCTACAAGCTACTGAATCACAGGGAGTACTTAGTTTATCATGCACTGCTCACCTATTTTGGCACTGATTGGCTTATGTTTTTTTTTATAAACATTGACATGATGTAATATCCCATGTACCGTTGCTTATCTCAGATTGTATTTACCTCATTTTAACACCTGGTATATCCTGCCATGCAAAACTGAACTGAACAGAAGATGTACTTCCTTTTTATTATGACTGTGTATACAAAGCAAAGCAGCAGAGGAGACAAGCATTTGCTTCCTATAACAAGGGCTTTAACTCGCATACTCATCAGAGTAGCATCGGTATCAAATGACCTATTAAACATGACATTGCAGCATAGCGCCCTTGCAATCTCCCCATTTCAATGTGTAGTGAAAGTGTAGACTTCAAACTACATACCTGTTTTTTTAAATTGTGTTGACAGGCCGACTAAAACCAGACTTTTCTTATCTAAATACAGTCATCATTTTGGCACAGGAAGAATGGGTAAAAACAGAATTTTGTAATGGAAACATTTGTGATCAGAAAGACCTTGACTCAATAGGCCTGATGACCAAAAATTATTTAAATGAAGCAGAATTATGTAGGAGCAGCAGTCTTCTTTCTTTGTAGGTTGACATTCACTGAACAGAATATGGTTAAAAGGTATTAAAGTCAAGTGGTTATATATCAGTTTACTCCATTACAGCCTACTGTTGGGCTTCACAACACTGAGGTGAGCACAAGACCCTTGGAAGTTCATCCTTGCTATTGACAATATGCTGGTAGACTAAGCAAACCTAGCAATGGGACATACTGATGTTAATTGGGAAGAATGGTTATTTAAGTTTACTTTGAATGGTTGCTGGTCCCAGAGGTGTTGGTCTGAGTAAAACAGCTGAAATACTGGGATTTTCTTACAACCATCTCTTTGGTTTACAGAGCATGTTCCTAAAAAGAGAAAATATCCACTGATCAGAAGCTCTCTGGGTGAAAATGTCTTGCTGATGCTAGAGGTCACAGCAGACTGCCAGGAAGACTTCAAAGGCTTAGTCTCAATCTCATACTGGTTTTTTGAAAATGAACTTTTATTTAAAATATTTTTGATACAAATTTTCTTTTTCTAAAAAAAAAAAAAAAAAAAAAAAAAAAAAAAAAAAAAAAAAAAAAAAA